GCTTATCGCCGCTCAGCGTAAGAATTTGCACGTTTTAAACTATAATTTGGACTTTTCAGTTTATAGGCTATGATAGATTTGAAAAGGAACATAAGGTAACCAATGAAATTATTCTAAAAATTTAAGCTCCTCCTTTCCAAAAGGACATACCTGGTGTAAGCGCAGCCAATATGGAGAAGCTCCGCCAAATGTTGAATGTATGTTTTCATACGCTCTACATCGATATTTCCAAATTTTTAAGGGCTAATCATTTGACCTTTTTTAAATCTCTCACAAACGAATAGTTCCCACTCAAAAGCCACTTTCATAATTAAAATTTAAACAAGCAATACATTGAAAAAGTCATGAAAAGCAACAATTAATCTTATTTTCATTTCTAAAATTTTACGGTTGGAAACTGCAAAGAAAGTGTTCCACACCTTATTGCAAAGTTTATTTTTTCAGCCTCGCCCGAATGGTTTCGAAGCTTTCAAGCAGAAAATAACTGAGTGGGAGAACAGTCTACCAGAAGCGGAGAAGGTAATAGAAAACAAGAGCTTAAACTTTTCAATTGTTTAAAGTAGCTCAAAAAGTTGATTATTTTAGCAAGCGGCAAGAACCCACAGAGAACAAATGCGTAAAAAGTTCCATGGTGGGTTTTCTTGAAAATTTTTGAAATTGAAATTTTTTTCAAATATTTCAACTTATAATGTCAACATTTCCAGAAGTACAGATATTACTCGTTAGAAAAATCCTAAGAAATGAAAAGTTTTCTAAGAAAAAGTATATAACTAGCTCAATAACTTCAGAAGAGTTCCTAAAAAGAGACATCCCTGGAGTGAGTGCTGCCGGCATGGCGAAACTTCGTGAAATAATGAGCGTGAGTTTTTATACATTTCTCTGAATTCTTCGCCCTATGACATTCAATACACAGAACAATCGTACTACTTTTTCGTTATCATGCTGTAAAGTAACCAAGATAAATTACTCCCATTTGTGTCATTTCTTGACACACCAAATAAAAACAGGAAAAAAACCTATTTTCAGTTGCCCAGAGTTGTTCGATGGCACTTTATTTTCAGACTCCACCAAATGGTAGGGAGGAGTTCAAACAAAGGATGGATACGTGGGTGAGCGGTCTATCACCTGCAGATAAGGCAGCAGCTGAAGCTCATAGAGA